GCTTGTGAATCCAAGTAAAATTAAATCTTCTTCTTGGTGATGTTGTTAAGTCAGTTCCGACCATAGCGACCCTGTACAGGGTTTCCAAGGAGCGGCTGGTGAGCTTGAACCACCGACCCTGCAGTTCAACTGATCGTGCAGTCCAGCACATTAACCCACAGCGCTACACCATGACAACTTCCATCTTTTCTTCATGTATCATGATGTTATCTGTTGGTTCAGTTATAAAGTGCGAGCCATACTAAAGGCTGTACTTCCCATACCATCAGTAAGTACTTCAAATCCTCTTTACTTTCCACAAGCATGGCTGTATCAACTGCATATCGCAGCTTGTTGATAAGACTGCCTCCAAGTCTGATGCCACGTTTTGCTTCACATAGTCCAGCTTCTGGGATTATTTGTTTAGCATACAGATTGAATAAGGTGAAAGAAAAGATACAAATTTGACACACATCTTTCCTGATTTTAAACCACTCAGCATCCCTTTGTTCTATTCCAACAACTGCCTCTTGGTCTATGTATAGGCTCCTCTTGAGCACAACTAAGTGTTCTGGAATCCCCATTCTTCACAAGGTTATCCTTAATTTGCTGTGATTCACAAAGTCAAATGTCTTTGCATAGTCAGTAAAACACAAGTAAGTATCTTTCTGGTATTTCCTGCTATCAGCCAAGATCCATCTGACATTAGCAACAATATCCCTTGCTCCGTGTCCTCTTCTAAATCCAGCTTGGTGTTCTGGCAGCTCCTTGTCAATATACTGCTGTGCCTTTTTTTTTTTTTTTTATGTTTCCGGCCAATTTTTACTTGCATATGATAGTAATGATAACCCTTGATGACTTCCTTGATGACCTCCACATTCCACTGGGTCTCCTTTCTTTGGAATAGGCATAAATATGGATCTCTTCTAGACCGTCCACATTTCTTGACACAGACAAGTGAGTATTTCCAGTGTTGCATCATTTATTGAAGTATCTCAGCTGGTATTATCAATTTCTGGAGACTTGTTTTTCATCAGTATCTTCAGTGCAGCATGGACTCCGTCCTTCAGTACCACTGGTTCTTGTTTACATGAAACCTCTTGAAATGGTAACAGGGATACTTGCTGTTGTTAAGTGCTATGGAGTTGGTTCCAACTCATAGCAAACCTATATAGGGGTTCCAAGGATTGGGTGGTGAGCTTGAACCATGGACCTTGTGGTTAGTGGCTGGTGGGTTTGAACCATCAACCTTAGGGTTAGATGCATAGTGCATCCCTATTCAAAAACAGACTGTCACTCATCCCATATAATTTTCTGTCTGGCTAGCTAAAAAGATGTCTAATTCTCTGAGCCTGCACCTAACACCATTTTACTATCAACACAAGTCATAGTTTTGCACAGTGCTATTAATACTATTGCTAATACAGTTTCCAAAAACGTATTTCAGTTACCTTTGAATCGACCTCGTCTCATGGTAACCCTTTAAGTGTCAGAGCAAAACTGCACTCCATAGGGATTCCAGGGGCAGATTTTCAGAAATTGACTGGCAGGATTTCTCCCAAGGTATCTCTGGAACCAACATTTTGGTTCACAGCAAGAACAGGAACGTTTTACACCACCAGTGTATAATACAGAGAAGGGTGTGCTCTGATTCTTTATAACATGCCCAAGAACTTCTGATGATTTTGGAAAAATCCATCCTGGATGATTTGTTTTCTGGGGTTGCTGGCACCACACGCCTGGAGCAGTCCTGTTCCCAGTTGCAGGGACTTACTTGCTTTGTCTTTTAGAGAGGCTGTGCCTGAGCATTAACTTCCCAAAGTACACACTTCACAGAAATTACTTAGTCTATTTCTATTTTATGCAATTAAAAAAAAATTGGACTCCAAGGACATTCTTTTATTTATGAATTTCATTTCATGTTTGTACAGTTTGTAGTCACATTAGGAGAGAACAGTGGGTCTGTTGGGGTTGAGAAAGAGTACCCCAAAGCCATTAAAGCAATGATGCTGCCATTCCTGAAGTCTTCAAAGCCATCTCCAGCCTCTATGCCTTTAAGTTGTTCTTGTTTTCCTAACCTTTAGCTTCTACAGGTGCCTAAGATGGAGACTTAGTCATCACAGTCTCTTCATCTAGGAAGCCCTCCTTAACCACTGTATTCCCACACAAGCCCTACAAAGACGGATTTCAGGGGCCCTTCTATGTGCTCCCCCAGTCTCGAACGGTTCCCTCTACAATAGCACTTGACTTACAGAATGTCACTACCTCTTTATTCTCTATTAGATACTAATCTCCCAGGGGGCTAGGATTCTGCCACAGTTTTATTACCCCCATTTAGTCCTTTGCTCATTCATTCATTCAACAAATATTTCTTAAGCATTTGATGTGTGCCACACACTGGCACACAAGTTGGGCTGCCAACCTCAAAGTCAGCAGTTCGAAACTACCAGCGGTTCCGCAAGAGAAAGATGAGGTGTTCTGCTCCCATAAAGATTTATAGCCTTGGAAACCCTGTGCAGGGTCACTATGAGTCGGAGCTAACTCCATGGTACTTAACAACAACACACACGTTCACAGAGTACTGGTGTGGCTCCATGGGTTAATGCGTTGGACTTCAAAGTCTGTTTGAACCACAAAGTCGGCAGTTCAAGTTCACCAGCAGTTCCTTGGAAAGCCCTATATACTGTCACTATGGATCAGAACCGACTTGACAGCAGTCAGCAACAACAACAGACACTGTTAGAGGCACTGGAGACACAATGGTGAATAAGATGGACACAGCTGCTGGCCCTGTAGAACTCCCATTCAAATGGGATGATGTGATAACTAAGAGAACCACTAAAAAGCAACTGCAAACTATGGTCAATGCTAAGAGAGAAATAAAAAGGGTGCAAGTGGAAGCCAAGATGTTGGGGAAGGGCTTGCTCAAGCTGAGGCTTGAACGATGCAAAGGTCCTAGCTTAGAAGGAGAATGTTCTAAACAAAGTAAACTGAACACACAAAAGTCAAGAGGTAAGAGTTTGGGATGCTCACAAAGTCACATGGAATGCAATGAAGCTGGTATGGCTCTCACAGGCAGCAGCAAAAAAGTCTGGGTGTCAGTTCAAGTGCAGTGGGAGAGACTTCTGTATATCCTCAGATTGGACTATAAACTCACCAAGGTTAGGAGCCTGGTCTTTTCCTCTCAAACCTGGAACATCTTTCCCATCTAACACCATGTAGACTCAATGATAGAATGCCTTCACCTGACCCTTACTTTAACAAAGGTTGGGACTTTGTCCTACATAGCGTAAAAGGTTACAGGGTAGGCTACTAACTGCAAGATAAGTAGTTTGAATCTATCAGATGCTTCGTGAGAGAAAAATGAGGCTTTCTGCTCCTGTAAAGATTTACAATGTCGGAAACACTATACAGGGTTGCTATGAGTAGGAACTGACTCGATGGCGCATGGCCACCACCACTAGCCAAAACATAAGAAG